GTGAAGTATATTGAATTGAACGTAAAAAAACACTATATCTTTTTAAATACGAGTAGCATAGTAACGATTAGTAATAACTAATAATAAACAATGTTATAGAATAATTAATAATTGTGTTGGTATACCATCATTGTACCAATTCATATAATATTTAACCACGATGTAGGTTTATACGTATACATTTTATATTTCAATATTTCATTACCAGTGAGTTAAAAATTTGAAAAAATCCCTCACTCCTATTAAAATGTCTAATTACTCTACGTCTACTATAGGTAGGCACATGAAAGATAAAATTATCTCAGCAATAATCGAGTCTTCATATTATATTTCATATATTGTATAAGCTTTTATTTAAATTGTGACAAGTCGCCTACAATATAATATATTTACCTAATGTATCTTCAGACTGCAGTTATTATCTGCCTATAGATTCGTTTGTTATTTTATAATTGGTTTTTGGTCGTATAAAAATATTTTTCTTTTAGTTGAGCAAACATTTTGTGCGTGATAATATTATTTTGTCAATGTTATCTTTTTCAATCGCCCACTTGAACTATAAACCTCATTATTATTAATTTTTTTTCTTGAAACTCAATAGTTAGCTTATTAAAATAAATTCGTCAATTAGTTTATTTACATGAAGTCACATTGATTATATATTTAGGCAATGCTAGTAATATGTGTAGCTATAATTAAAATATACTAGAAGTCGTCTAAAATGTATATGCCATATATGGTATCTTTAAATTATACTTTTAACGTTTTTAAAAATTTTTTTTCACTCAATTCATTATAAAATAGTATTGGAAAGTATATATTTTTAAAACCTATTTAATAGTTTTTGAGATATAGTAACAGTAAGTGCTTACAGTTATTGAAAATCATCCAGAGATGATTAAAAGCTAAAATTCAAAAACATAAACTTTAGTGTAAGTTAAAGCGTTTATTATTATTTATCCATAATTATTTATTTAATGATCAGATAAAATTACGAGCCAAATCCAAATGATATAAAAAAGAAAGTTTTTACTTTAGCTATAAATAATAATTGAAGTTAATTTTATCATAATATCGTTATTATTCCGCCTGCAAGATAACATATTAAAGTATTCAATGGAATAAAATGGCATGCCTAAAGTGGTAACTATAAATTATAATGTACAAAAATTAACAATTTGCATCCAACTATAATATTACGCCTAGATATTAAATGTATTATATTATCATATTGAATGAATTATAAAATTAAAGTATCTAAAACGTATTGCTTATTACAGCAATAAATAAAATATAGACGTTTTAAAC